ATCTCGATTATCTCAATTATGTAGAGTCAGTCGTTTTTTCTTTGTCGTTAATCCAGCGTCACTCTGACCATGACTTTGTAAACGACTGAAGTCCAGTCACTGCCTTGTTTATCTAAATACAGTAAAGACCCGCATAAAAGAACCACTATTTTCCCAAGTCAGGCTGCAATGGTTCTTATATATTTGGTCCGTACTAGTGAGAAATCAGGCAGAATAGGTTCTACAGTTTCTTATTTAAAGATAAGTTTGTGTGTCAAGATGAACATCAGAAATGGAAAGAGTACCTCGATATTAGTGAGAGGGCAAAGTTTCAGCTTATAACATGTAACACAGGAAAAAATGGCATTAAATACGAGCTCGAATATTTTATAAGGATTTGTATGGAAAAAATGGGCTGGATAGCAAAGCTCGCCATCCAGTACATTTCCCATACACTTACTTATAAAATATTCGATTTTATATTTAATGTCATTTCTCCTATGGTCAACATTATGAGYTGAAACTTTGACTTCTAAATAATATCAAGGTAATCTTTTTATTTCTGATATTTATTTTGACACATAAACTTCTCTTTATAAGGGGGTAGGGTCACGTGACCTCTTGTTGCAAAAGGCTTATTGGATAAGGAAAATTGGCCATTTTTGCGGTTTTAGTATRTAGTTTTATAGGCATTAAAAAAGAAATTAGAAATTTAGCATTTTTGATTTTTGGAATCCTTATTTAAAATAAGAAAACATTTTGACACCACGAAATTCTAATTTGCTATTTGAAAGGAAATGTGTGGGTACCACAATCAACAATCAACAACCAACATTGAACCAACTAAWAAATTAACAAAACGATACGTTGTGAGAAATATATTCTACCTTTCAATTCTATGCCTTCAGGAAAATCTCGTTCACAGCATACCGAGTGCCTGCACTTTATTCTAGCATCCTTCATTGGTTTACCTGACATACATATTTGGAAATACATTAGNCTACAAAGCTGAGACCGACAAGGATTATGGGTAGATGCATTTTACATGTTTCAACCGCTTGATAACTGTTGATAGACTTGAGATCTTCTACCAGTTACAAGTTAACCTCCTGTGAGCATCCTCAACTGCTGCAGTTTGTGTCAAAAGCTTCACTTGTTGAATATAAAACATTTCCCCATGATTCTCAGCGATCACAGCTTTCTTGGTTTTTGGTGACTAACTTTATTGAAATAAGTATACATACCAAGACTTACTCACTAAGATCCTGTTTAATATGTTTTTGTTCACAATAACGATAAACTAGAGATCAAAACATGCCTAAAACTATATTTTATACGACAAAACCAAAGAGAAGATCGATGATATACAACTAGAAAAGCGAAAGAAAACTGTCCGAGATGTTACTCATTTGAAACGTTTCTAAAACTACTCAAAAGAAATAATAACGACGAGGAAAGGTAATGTTGTTCTTGGAAGAAGGCGAATTTAATAAGAAAAAAAACTCCCTTGTAAATTAAACCTAATTCCGGAACACATAGAGCCTGGAAGTTGAAAAGATTATTAGTAACAATTATTCGCCGAAGGCGAAGTGATTATCTGTGGAATATTTACCGAGCGGCGAGGTAAATATCACCACAATCACTGAGCCTGAGGGGACTAATTGTTCTAGTATAATTTTAGACTTGAATATCAGAGAAAAGTGGAAATTCAGGATAAAAAAAACGTTATAGTATTACTTCCGATCTGGAAAACTTTGGAGAACTTCAAAACCACCGCTCCAGCGGTGATTGTCGTCTAAGAATCACAGGTCGCTCGACGAATCACAGCTCGAGAAACTCTATATTCAAGTCTATAATTATACTAAAATTTGATAATTCGAATGGCAAACATTTATTCAGACAAGTTTTTAACATGATGCTTGTTTTTAGCGTTCGTATCATAATACCATGTTCACCTCGGATTCTTTTGTCTTCCAAGGGCTTAGAACTTGAGGGAAATTTAGAAGACAAAGAAATCCCTTGTCTTTTACTAAATGTTTTCATACTCATTAATGATTCATGAGTAAACCAGCCAATCAATGGGCTATTTTTGGGTCACATGATGTTACTAGAAACCTGGTAAAGTCATGTGAAAGGACTGAATTCATTCTCTAGCAACTGGAACAAAATTAATTCAGTCCTAGTAACTGGACTGAATTAATTTTGTTCCAGTTACTCCAAGTCGAATAATCAATGAGATGAGAAGTCATTTCAAAGCCTCCAATATCGGACTGGACGGGATTTCAAGTCCGCGCAATTAGTTCCAGTCCGAGGCGCAGCCGACGACTGGAACTAATTGCGCGGACTTGAAATCCCGTCCAGTCCGATATTGGAGGCTTTGAAATATTACTTCCTGTCACATATACTAAATTAGGGAAATTTAATAAAAGACAAAGGATTTCATTGTCTTCTGAAATTCACCTCATGTTCTATGCATGCGGGAAGTTTAAAAAAATTTAGATTAAATTCATTCATCGCGAGTCATCAAGCGGGACGGGTCAGATTTCTTCAACTCTGGTTTTTGATTTATACTGGTTCTATATCTTCAAAATGTCAACTGACTTCCTTACTAAAGAGAATTTTATGAAGTTTTGGGAAAGCGAACTGCTTCCTAAGGTCAAAGCAGTTATACGNGGTCGCCATTTTGGCAAAGGGTCTTATACAGGGAGTATGGGTAGGAATCTCCGAAATCAATAGGTGAAAAATTCAAAATTACAGGGACTATGGCCGTTTGCCGAATCGCTGAAGCTTAGGAGCTACCTGTATATAATATGTATCATCAGGCCTACTCTGGGTCCTTACTCAGCGTTAGATCGCCTAACTTCGCCTTAGACTGCCTTAGACTCTCGTTCCATAAGAAAGATTGCATTGTGGTCTAGATTCTTTATAAGGCATGATGAACAAAAGATGTTTGTACCTAAGCTAGACCAGAATGCCCCTTGTTCCCTAACCCAGGTGTAGCTTTGATCAACACCATATAAGACATGATGAAAAAAGATGTTTGTACCCAAGCTAGATCAGAATGTACCATTTTTAATTTACTATCTCATATGTTGAGGTCTTAATACGTTTYCCTTAATACGAGTCACAATAATCAATTATTGGATGAGGTTATGTCRAGGACAATAACACTTACCCAGACATTGATAATTTCATAAGTCATAAGTCAAATAAGTGCACCCCCCTTAAAAAATCCTGGATCCGCCCCTGTACTACTACTGCTGCTGCTGCTGCTGCTGCTGCTGCTACAAACAAAATCATATTTAATTTTGAGAAATATATTCTTACATTTTACATCCAAGAGGATAAGATTCCAAAGAACTKYAYGGTATTCTTCYTCATCTATTGTAACCTCCAMGTCAATCTCTTYTCCTTGGCTCAGTTCCTTCAATTCKTTCATCTCATTGAAGGATTTTTTYAGTTYTTCTTTCAAAGAGCCAWCCTTGTAGCTCTGCCATAGCCGTTTTASTGATGAAATGCTTGAGACTTTCAAGACGAATACTACCGAGCCACTAAAGAGTTCAAATACTTTAACCCCGAGATCCTTAAATATTTGAAGATTTTCCAGCTTTTCAGGGTTTGTCACATATGAATACATAAGAGCTGGACCTAGTAAGGCTAGTTCAGCTCCTAATACTAATAACACAGTCTTCAGATGTATAGTTGTAAAACTTCTCTYGATGACTTTTCCTGAACAACCCGCTTTGAATTTCTCTACTTCTTCCTTTAGTTTTTGTAATCCAAGCTTCTCAGCCAACAACTTTGATAACTCCATGTCCTTTTCAGGTCCTATAACATCTCCTCTTTCCAAGGCATCTACAAGATCTGTTGCATTTTGGACTCTT